TGATGCATTTGGGGGGCGAGATGGGTCTCATCGCCCCTCCCCCAGCTGTCCTTTCTCCCTCTCTGTGTTCTCTGCAGCTACTGAGCCAACTGGTATTGAAAAGAGGCAAACCCAAATAATGCGGTTGTTGCTGGTACTAAACAGTAGAGACTTGGCTTTAGCAGAAGGTAGAATTGAATATTTCCTTGCAGAAACATAAATCCCAGTAGTGTCTGTGGAAATGCAGTCTGTGCCCACACAGCTGAGGGTGAGCACAGGAGCTTGGCACCTCCATGTCAATCACTTCACCCAGAGTCAGAGATTCCTCTCGGGGCTAAAACCCCATTCTAGGCTCTGGATATCATCGAGTGTCAGGTGAGGTTCTTGCCCTGGAGAAGGTTGCATTTGGGTTTGAATCGTCCAGTCAATATATAAAAACCAGCCTAGCAAGGCCATGCATTTCAGTAATGGATGGAGACTCAGGGCATTATGCTTTCATGGAGGGAGGACGCAAGATTTCTGTCCCAGTGGGCAGGGATGGCTTTCCAGTGGAGGTGACCTTTCCTACGTGGGGTCTGGAAGGATGAGATAGCAGAGGTGAGCAGAGGAGGTGCAGCCCTGGCTAGGAGGATCCTGTTGGGATGGAGGCTGACCGTGGGGAGTCAGAGGCTCAGTCTCAGTGAGCCCAGCAGGATGTTGGACATGTCCCAGGTCCATCCTTGCAGGAGAACAGGTGTCTTCACAAGGGCACAGGAGAGTTGCGTCTTTAAGAGAACCCTAATGGATGACCATTCTCTTGCCTAATGCCTGCCTCAGCAGGATACGTTCTGTGCTTTGCCCCACTATCTGCGGGGGGCGGGGGCAAAATGTTCAGTTCCTTTGATTTCTGCCTGCACCAAGGTGGGGGCACATGTTCACTCAGGGATTTCTCCAGAAAAAGCCTTTCCATCGTTGGATACCATGCTGCTTTTCCTCTATGCTTTTTTTTTTTTTAAATGATGTTGACATGGATGCATCAAAATAAATTATGTTTCTTTCTGTTCTATTTGGTGGGAATCGTAAGTTCACAGGCCAGTGAGCGTGATGAGCACACTGTAAGAGGCAGGGTCCTCAGGTGATCCTGTTAACACGCAGAGAGAATGGTCACTTTTCTTTCTCTCATTTCTGCACATGGTCATCTTTTGACCAAAACTCAAGAGTTCTGTCTACTGGGGTTGTCCTTGGGATGGAAACCTCTTCCCTCTTCTTTCCCCAGGTGCTTTTGCCAACATGACCCTTGACTCTGGCCTTCTCCTGGCTTGGATGGACATCCCCAGCTCAGCCCTGTTTCTTGGTCCAGCCCCGTTTTCCAGTGTGATCATCCCTTCCTCTTCACAGTCCTCCTCTCAGGGATTTAGATGCTTGACAGTGTCCGTTCCCAATATGTGCTGTATTTCAAGATCATTGCTGTAAGTTTTGACCACTCTTCAAAAACTGTAAAGACCCTACATGTAGCTTCGAATCCAAACAACTCTTTCTTCCATCAAGGACCATCCCCCCAAACTTGCCCTTACCTTGAGAAAGAGAACATTTGCTCCCCTCACAGAAAAAAGGAACCTATGCCCATTTTAGGCTGCGACAGTGAGTCTTTGGGATGATGGCTTCAGAGAAGCATGGAGAAGGAGGGAACCCAAACAATGATCCAACCAGCAGCGATTCCCCAAGAGCATCTGCAAATCACCAATTCTGTGGTGGTCAGCAGCCATAAGAGTGAGGTTCCGGGGTGAGATGAGAAGCCATGCCCAACGCAGTCGCAATCCTTAAGTCCCTTTGTGTTAACTACTCCAGGCCTTTGATGTGTCATCGTGCCAGTCTCTGAGGGGAGGACCCAGCAGAAAGCAGTTCCCAAGCTCATTCCACCATGGAGCTTTTCTCAGGAAGCTTGTGGTTCTGTGTGTGGGAAGCACTAATCTAATCTCATACCCTAGTTAATAAGTGGAGTTGTTGGTCCCGAGAGAGAAAGCGACTTTCCTGAGGTTACACAGCTCAGCAGAGTAGAGGTTCAATGAATAATCATAACCACAGATACCGTTTGTTTCTGTCTTAGCTGGTGGCCCTGTCCTCTACCCATCACCAAGACCTTCCCATCGAGCCTCCCAAATCTCTCTCATCTTTGTCACTTGGCTTTTGTGTCTTCCTCTGCCTTGGCTTAGACTCTTGCCTCTCTCACCTGGGCAACAGCCTTCAATGAACTCCCAGCTAGACTCAACTTCTTCCTAGCCTTTCTCTGCTCCTGCAAGTCCTAGTTTCCATGGTAGCCAGAGTGGCATACCCCAAATGAATGTCTGAACGTGTTGCTCCCTGCACGCTCGTCCTGAAGTCCAGCCTGCTTTCTCTGTGATAAAATCACTGATAACAAGGTGTGCCCCGGGATCACGTGTTTAATCATTTAGCATACCATCATCCTAAACTGAACCAACTTGGATCAGACCCAAGCACTTTAAATATGTCGCCAGTATCAAATTGTCCCTGCACTGCTGAATCGTTAGATAGGAAAAAGTACATGTGTATGTGTATCAGCCTATTTTCATGCTGCTGATAAAGACATACCCGAGACTGGGTAATTTATAAAGAAAAAGAGGCTTAATGGACTCACAGTTTCACGTGGCTGGGGAGGCCTCACAATCGTGGCGGAAGGCAAGGGAGGAACAGACACCTCTTACATGGTGGCAGGCAAGAGATAATGAGAGTCAAACAGGAGAAGCCCTTTATGAAACCATCAGATCTCGTGAGACTTATTTACTACCACAAGAGTAGTGTGAGGAAAACAGCCCCCATGATTCAATTATCTCCCACTGGGTCCCTCCCACAACACGTGGGAATTGTGGGAGCTACAATTCAAGATGAGACTTGGGTGGAGACACAACCAAACCGTATCAGTGTGTAATTTATAACTTAACGGACTCATTGCGGAAGGAATGTAAATTTCCTAACACAGTTTTCATAGTTTCAAGCATTTGGTAAAATGAGACCCACAGTAAGGACTTTGCAGGGCAATTAGTAATGTGAAAAGAGAGGATATTTAGGTTAAAGATTCCCAATATACAAATCTTCAACCGGCTGGGACAGGTTTATGAAGGAAGAGCTGTTGAGAGGACGCTTGCTGCTGTCAGGGTCCCAGCAGAAAGCAGATGGCATGAGTTCAGGGTATACTAAAGGCAGACAGGGTTACAGGGGCTACAGGAGACCACCTATGGGTGGCAGCAGCCACAGTGGGTAGCCATTCCTGACCCTGTATGTGATGGGGCCAGAGGAGGGGCGGGAGCTGTTGGGCAGAGCCTAGCCTTCGGCAGAAGGAGGCTGCTAAACCCAGCAGCTATCCGGCAGGAAGGGGCTGGGGAGTACTCTCCCTGCCCTCGCCTCCCCCCAGCCCCTTTCATTAGCAGCCCCCAACAGGAACCAGAGGGCAAGCAGGACCAATGCAGTTGGCAGAGATCAGCCTCGGGGGCTGCTTGGGCAGGGTGCGCCCCGAGAGGGAATGCAAGGTGTACAACTCAGCACTCCCCGTCCCATGGCTGCTTATGATGACAACCTCCCCTAACGCCCCCAGAGCAATCTCCTACCAAGTTTGGGATCCCAGCTCCCGGGCCTGTGGATCCCCACCAGATGTTAGGAAAACCAAGGTGAAGAGGAAGCAAGAGAAGACTCCTCCCTAAAGCGGCTTGCTTAGGTCCCCTCACTGTCAGAGGCAGCCCAGGAAGTAGACCCAAACCGAGGGAGGGTTGGTGGAACCTCTTGGAAACTCCAATCTCAGTCTGCTCTCCTCAGCACTGAAAGCTCCATTCCCTAGCAGCCGCTCCCTTGCATGTCCCGTCCATGCTCCTCCTGCGTGCTGTGCACATGTGTGTACGTGTGCATGCATGTACGTGTGTGCACATGTGTGCGCCTGTGTTGGGAAGGAGAATGAGGGTGGAGAGGAGCCCTCAGCATCCCTGAGGGGCCAAGGCTAAGTTGCCCCCTAACCCGACAAGCTGGGAAGGAGCACAACACCACTAAATCTAAATCACACGTCAGGAAGCACTTTCAGCAAACATAACGAAGGGATGATGTGAACAAAGGTGAAGAAGTCCTAAGAAATCAGAATGATTCAAAGAGATGGCGCGATCCTGCCCAAGCCCCAGATAGACAAGTCTTGCACCTGATGAGGCCTACAAAGAAAAAATCCTGTGGACCAGACTTCATCCAGACCTGCAAAGAAGGGATGAGTGACAGGCAGGGAAGAATTAACAGTGTACACGTATGAAACGGCAATTTAATACAAACATTCATTACTGGCGATGCTCCTTGGTGAGGCTGTGGTAAAACACATCACCTCACTGTCAGAGGGAATAGAAACCCTTGTGGAAAACAATTTGGCACCAATTTAGAAACAATACACTTGGAGAAAATGTTATGTTCTTGTTCTAGTTACATGGCTCCTAGGAATTTACGCGAAGGATAGAATCCCAAATCAGAAAAAGGCCGTATGAATCCTAATACAGATGCTCATTACAGCATTATTTGTAGAAGCAAAAAGGTAACCAACTATTATCTTTTTGTAGGCATTTGGTTTAAGTATTTCGATAGGAGATTGAAATTAGGAAGACTGGGTAGCAACACAGAAAATACTTTAGATTTGGATTTTTTAGATCTCAGGGAACAGAACACACAACTGTGTCCATGACATGGTTATCAGTGGGTGAAATTTACACATGCAAATGGAGGAGCTTGGAAAACAGCGCAGCCATAGAGCAGCCGCTGTGGTAGGATGGGGGCAGCAAGAGTGAGTTTCTTGTGTTGCCTTGCACTTGTGACGTAGCACACACGTACACGGTCTATGCAGCACGCATGTATGCACATATGTATGAGAGTCAGATATCCCAGTACATGTCATTTGCTTTTTACAAACAATTGCCCCTCTCCCTCCAAGATCTGCCCACCCTGTCAGCATAACTTAGTAATTAAGTTATACTGACATGTGGTAAATAACTCATTCTGGTTACCTAGCAGCATGCCGGGGGGCAGCTGAGCCGAGGGGTCTTTCATCCAGTCGTCATTGGCCAGTTCTATCACGGCGTCCACAGGCGTGACTTCAGTGCAGATTAAATCCCTCATTCTCTCCTCGTCTTTGGCATCCAGGGCGCACTTTAATCTCTTCACTAAATCGGAGTTGAGTGGGTAGTCGGGAAGGTAATCCCAGTTGGACATTGTTGTGTCGTTTGTGCAGCGACCAGCTTTTCTTTTCTTCCTCTAAAGTGACTCCAAAGTCAGCAGCTGTCCCCAAGAGTGGCGTGGGGGCCTCTATAAATAGCAGCACCCTGGCTCCTCTTACAGTCCCTCGGGAGGGCCAACCCCCCAGCAGGGAGGTGTGAAGTAATCTTTCCAGAGGCCTCAGTGAAGGATTATTCTAGGGATGGGGGCAGCAGATATGTTTGTAAATGATACGGAAGGAGAGAGAATATTTTCAAAGAGAGCTTTCATGGGTAATGTTGAATAATGTCTTTTTTGATAAAAAGTGAGGCTCTCTCCTGAAACTTTGAAAACCTCTTCCTGGGACTGGGCTTGGACCTCTGTTCTGTGGAAAGGAACATTTTCTAATATTTTATCCCTCGTTCTCCTTCACGTCCTCTGAAAGGAGTGTCTGGTCACCTGTAAATTGGCATGCCTCGAACTGCATAGAACGGAATGGAATCTTTGGTTTCCAAATTCAGGGAAGAACTGGCTGGTCTTGGGAAGACAAAAGCATCACAGAAGTGAACAAAAAAAGTAACCTAAATATTACCCATGAACTCCCTGTCCCTCAAAGCTGGCAAATGTGGCTCAAAGCCTGTAATTCCATGACTTGTGGAAGGGCAGAGCCCTCAGGTGGATTTCTGTGCACTCTTAGGGGCAGAGGTGGGGCTTTCTCTCTGTGACCTGTGTCTTCAGTGTGCTTGGGTTTCCTCATGCCAAGCTGTGCACAAGCACAGCTGTTCCTGCAGCTTCTCTGTTGACACCAGTGTGCTGTGGCCTCTGAGGATCCAGGGTGGGCTGCAGAGCTTACAGGGCTTCCTTTGCCTTGCCTTCCATCTTGCCACCTTTTTCCTTCCTTCCTTCCTTCCTTCCTTCCTTCCTTCCTTCCTTCCTTCCTTCCTTCCTTCCTTCCTTCCTTCCTTCCTTCCTTCCTTCCTTCTCCCCTGTACTTAATTTTATGTGTCAGCTTGGCTGGGACCACAGTGCCTAGAGACTTGACCCAACGCTAGTCTAGATGTTTCTATGAAGGTGTTTTTGGGATCAGATTAGACTTTCTCGAACCAGCAGACTTGGAGTAAAGCTGATGGCCCTCCCTAACATGTGTGGGCCTCCATCAATCAGTTGAAGGTCTGAATAGAACACAAGACTGACTTTCGCTGAGCAAGGAGGAATTCTGGTGGCAGACAGACATTGAGCCTTTGGTCTCAACCTCAGCTCTTCCCTGGATCTCCAGCCTATCAGCCCACCCTGCTGATGTGGGATTTATCATGTCTGCACTATACTATGAGCCAATTCTTGAGATAGATTCTCTCTCCCGACACACTGTTGGTTTTGTTCCTCTGGAGAACTCTAATACACCCTCCCTCCTTTCAGTTCCAGTGTGTTCCATCTGCATTTTCCTGCTTCTGTTCCATCTGCATTTGAGGTGCCAGGCACTGTAGTTCCTGCCTAATATCCATTCTCCTTCCACCTGAGTGCCCAACACGGCCTGGCTTTCTTGGCAGGGGCACTGTGCCCAGCCCCTAAGGATGAGTCACGTTGATTTAGGTCAGTAGTGTCAGTCCCAGTCTGCTTTGCCAGCTACTCAATGTCCAGTCTCTCTTGTAACCCAGTTCTGGCTGGTGGGGTGAGTCTGGGAAGTTATCTGCTTTCCTGATCGAGAGGGACAGAAGCGGCTGGCATCTCCCTTTCCTTTTCTTGTTTCCTTGAACATGGACATGATATCTGGAGCTGCAGCAGCCACATCACAGCCAGGAGGCGACAGACATGAAATGAAGGATCAACACACAAAGGAGAGTGGGACAGAAAGCTGGGTAGAGACCGGAGGTGACATTTCAGCCACCAGAACTCTTATCTTTATGCCTTAAGCAGTTTTTGTGTGTTTTCTGTTACTTGTAACTGAAGACATTCCTGGTTGATACAGGTAGTCTGTTTACTCTGCCTTTAAATCATGGAAATGTCCTGGGTTTAGTCTAAGAAGATGCAGGGGGAATGACTCAGCCAGTGAAGAACTTTAGTGAATCCTCCCAAGCCTTCTATTCTTTGATAATAGTAACACCCTGCCTTTTATGATAAAATCCGAATGAATTTTGCAACAACAGCAGCCAACCCCAGAGTCCCCAAGTGGAATGTGGAGGAGCCATGGCACCATAGGCTGGGCTCACAAATTAGCAGCAGCCAGGGCCACTGGAGTGACTGCCTTTTGGTGTCACGGACCCTGATGAATGGACCCCGATGGAGACATCCCTGGAATCTCTGGTAATGGACTCCGCCCACGAATGAAATACGAATGCCCAGGATCTGCCTGCAGTTCAGAGGCTTCACCGAACTGCAGAATATAACTGGTCTTTACTTCTTTCTTTGGTCAAAGGACTGGGAGTTTTGAAGGAGATTTTTGAGCTTAAATTTCTGAGCACAAATCCTTTGCAGCATCAAATGTCTTATATTTAGGGAGAAATCTAACACTAGCACATGTGTGTAGATACAGTGAAAGGGAGGGTAGTGACCATAGGAAAAACGATCAGCACTGGGCCAAGGTAATTTAAAGAAACAAAATGAGAATTATTAGAGACTGCTATCAAACTTCAAATCAGAAGGGAGGTAAAGATGGAGCACTTGTTGGGCAGATAATAAGATGACAAAGCCTCAAAATACGGCACTCGCTGATCTTAATTACCAAGCTATCTGCTGGGTGTTTAATCAGTGGCACATACACTATGCTAATTATTCCAGCTAATTTCATTATAATGCAATTCTTTATCAACCCTGCTATGTATAAATTAGGAATTGAAATGTAACTAACACAAATTATATTTAAGGCAACATGAATTTCTTTATTTCAGCACAAAATCTTCTTCTATTTCTTTATCTTTCTTTTTTGATTAGCTAATGTCACCCCGCCCCTAGTCCAGTCCCACACAGCCTAAACCATCATTTGAGGGGAAAGGAACCCAGCACAAATATTTCCCCCTTTAACTTCTTGGAAATTATCTGACTCTCCTTCAGCGACTGTCCTTGAAAGGTGCAGAATCTATTTAAGCAATCAGTGACAGACGGATCCTGCCTTTCTCTGCGTCAGATAAAGGTCGCCTTATTGTTCTATTTTAATTTTTAAATAATCAGTGGAGGGTACCATAATTCATGTATTTTCAGTGATATATTGTATATAACTTATGTAGAGTTATGTTTACAAATGTGTTTAGATGAGGACTAATAACATGTATCTTACAGAGAAGCATAAATATTGTCTGGAATTTTTAATGTCATGTGGCACTGCCATGCTTGTGACTTTCTCCTCCATCAATACTTTTGGTTTTGAACAAATTCGCAGCAAAGTAACAAAGCCTAATAAATCAGTTGATAAAACTGGGGTTTAATTTAGTCCCAGCACTGAGCCCGTCGCCAAGGGAGAGCCATGGTCTGGGAGAAATGAACAGTCCCAAGTCCTCAGACCCCACTGTGACCTCAAAGTAAGGAGCAAGCACTATACGCATCTAGACTCACTCAAAGTGATCGAGACATAGCCCTGTAAGATGGATTCACCTTTGAAACTCATTGCTTCTTTGGGCCTGAAATGTCCCTGCTTTTCCCTGCGAGCCTGGAGAGCAGCTCCTCCATCCCCTGGTCCCCTGAGTGCTGTTGGGTGCTCCCTTGCCTCCAGCTCCAGCTGCTGGGCCCTCCACATTCTGGATGAGCTGGAGCTTTGCTCCCAGGCCAGAGGTTTTCATCACCTCACATCATCCCCTCTCCTGTCTCTGGTTCCTACTGTTTTATTTTTATTTCTCCTAATTCCCAGCTCCAGTGACAAAGATGTTTCTCCTTGTGGTCAGAAGCTTTTTAACTTTGCTAAAGATTCTTTTGAATTCTGTTTTTTTTTTTTTTTTGAAAGGGTCTCACTCTTTTGCCCAGGCTAGAGTGCAGTAGTGCAATCACTGCTCACTGCAGCCTCTATCTCCCGGGCTCAAACTCATTCTCAGCCTCCTGAGTAACTGGGCCACGGGTGTGTGCCACCATGCCAGGCTAATTTTTAAATTCTTTCTAACGCAGAGAGGAGCTCACTATGTTGCCCAGGCTGGTTTCAAACTGCTGGGCCCAAGCGAGCCTCACACTTCAGCCTCCCAGAGTGCTGGGATTACAGGTGTGAGCCACTGTGCCTGATTTGAATTCCATTTCAATGAGTCACTTCTAGCTTTTCTGTCTCTACAGTTTTGACCAAGATGTTTGTGTGAATGTATCTACCATTCTGTGTGGGGCCATGCTCGCCCATTGACCCAGCAGGCTGCAGTAACTACTTTGTAGTGCAGTCTTGGTACACAGACTTGATGGGTAGTTCTTTGTGCAGTGGGATAGCAGGGACCACTTTCATTTCCCCTGTGTCTTCAGAGGCTGGAAACAATGCAATGGGGTGTGGGTACAGACTAGATGTGATGAAAGTCATTGACAATTCTTGCAAGATTTTTTTTTTCTCTGTTGGTGCATGGTTTGTAATGATGCAAGGTTAGAGTTGAACAATTGGAGATACAGATATTTCCTATCAATATAATCATCAAAGCCCAAATAATGCACAAATGATTTTAATTCAGTAAAGATGTTTTGAGCCCTGGTTAATTCCCGGCACTTCATGATGTGCTGAGATTACAGTATGTTGATTATATCACAATATGTGCCAGGCACTTTCTTTTATTTTATTTTATTTTTAAAAAATATATATTTTGTTGAATTTTAGGTTTTGGGGTACATGTGAAGAACATGCAAGACTGTTGCATAGGTACATACATGGCAGTGTGATTTGCTGCCTTCCTCCCCATCACCTATATCTGGCATTTCTCCCCATGTTATTCCTCCCCTAGTTTCCCCCCACAGACTTCAGTGTGTGATACTCCCCTCCCTGTGTCCATGTGTTCTCATTGTTCAACACCCACCTATGAGTGAGAACATGCAGTGTTTGATTTTCTGTTCTTGTGTCAGTTTGCTGAGAATGATGGTTTCCAGATTCATCCATGTCACTACAAAGGACACGAACTCACTGTTCTTTATGACTGCATAGTATTCCA